GCACATATGTATTAATGAAGACAATCAGAAAAGGATCTAAGTGCAAAGTGGCCAAAGTGGATCATGTTTTACAGATGGCTAATTTTTCCATTCTAGGAAACACATGTTCTATCTATATCTATGCCAGATTTTATGTCATTTGCCTTTGCACCATTAGTTAAAAAGCCATGGTATTAATGTACTTAAATCCTGAAGATACTAAACTGCTTCTGAATTTAAAAATTAACTGAATATTTGATAATATAAAGAATTCACTGATTTTTTTTCTTTATGATTAAGGTATTACATATGTGTTCTTATTCCCCTCTTGGCCCCCTAAACTCCCACTCATGCTCTCACCCCCCTGGTGTCTGTGTTCATTGGTTAGGCTTATTTGCATGCATACAAGTCCTTGGTTGATCTCTCCCCCTTACTCACACCCTTCCCTACCTTCCCTCTGAGGTTTGACAGTCTGATTGATGCTTCTCTGTCTCTGGATCTGTTTTTGTTAATAATATTTTAGATAATGATAATAGTGTTTTGGTTAAAGTTTTTCAAAATTACTTATTGAAATAATTATGGATGAAATAACAATTGCTTCAAAAACAATTCAGAATGATGGAAGGGGTAAAAACAAATGAGGATATAGATAAGACTGGCTATGAATTAATCATTGTTAAAACATGGGAGAATATTATATTATCCTTCCTGCTTTTAAGTATGTTTGGAATTCTCCGAAATCAAATAATAAAAAACCCTTCTGATATAAGCTCAAAAGAGTACACCAATCTTCCAATTAATAAAACTCCTATGTGTAGGGTTACCCACGTTGTTTATATTGGTAATGTTTGCTGACAGCAAAAGAGGGCACAAGTAAACATGTTCTTCTGAATGTCAACATCTGACTAACAAATTTAGAAGGTTTACATTATCTTATCGTGAAACTTGTAAAGTAAGTTTTACAGGCTGATTGTTATTTTTTACTTCCTCATCAAAAGACCAACATATGAAAATAACTTTAGGTAAAGCTTGATTGACACTAACAAATGGATCCAATTTAATTTACATTATTTTAATTATTTTACAAGTGATGAGCAAATTTTATAACAAGCTTGGTCAGAATGAAATTTAAAAGTAGGGCTCTGTCATTTTTTTTCCTGGAAATACTAATTTAAGCAGTTCTGGATGAATATATGTAGTAAAACATAACATTAAGATGATGGAAGGAATCATCAGGTACAAGTAGCTTTCCATTAATCTTCAAGAAAAATTCAGAACTTTGGCAGTGTAACATTGGTTATCAGATATTTCAGATATGACAATAAAATACATATAATTTCCGATATGAAATAGTCTCTATGCCCTCATAATATACACACATCCCGAAATTCAAATATTTTCATAATCAAATTATACAGATGGTTTTTTACAGTCATAAGCAACAAAATTCTTTATTAAATCATGTAACTTGCTTATAATCTGAAGAATATCATCACTGTATTTAGTATAGTTGGGAATGAGATGCCCTTTATTGAAATTTACTTCTTCATATCTCTTTATCTGGATAATTTCTATTTGTCATTTGGGTTCAATGGAAATATCACCTCTTTGAGAAAACTTCCTTCAATCTCCCCCTTACTAGACTGGAGTAGAATTTTGTACTCCCCCCTTCATAACACTTTTCAAAATTATATTTATGTAATAAATACATGATTTTTAAAAAGATATGTCTCTCCCACTAGGGAGACTACAAGGACCAAGAGGTCAGAGGTCATGTCAGTTTTGCTCACTACTGTATTTCCAGTCCCTGGTGTTCTAATTATCAAGCCTAGCTGTACCTGGATCATCTTGAAGCTTTAAAAAAGACTGATGCCTGAACTCCACTACTAGAGGTTCTAATATAACTGGTAGAAATGGGGTAGAGGACAAAAATTGATAGTTTGTAAAAACACCAAGGGGATTGAGGGGCAGTCAAGGCAAGGATGGGATACCTTTTTTTCTGCCAACAGCCATTTAGATATTTATAACATCATCACTCGAGGGTCATAAAAATTATCAACTTAAAAATTAGCCTGCTAGGGAGAGTAGGGAGATCTGGGGAAGATAAGAGATCAACCGAAGGACTTGTATACATGCATATAAGTACAACTAATAGACACAAAACTCTGGGGAGGGAGGGTATGTGAGGGGGGGGGGGAATGTTAAAATATGTACACAGATAACAATTTAATAAATAAAAAAAAATTAGCCTGCTATATTTGATAAAACAATTAATTCAACCATAATGTAGGGCCAGATCGAATAATTTTATGGACATTTCCCATCCCTGGTATAGAGTCTTGGCTAACAGAATAGATTCAATAAACAAATATGTAAGGTTCTCTAAATTCATCCAAAGACTATAGACTATATATATTTCATTTGCTGTCATTTCTACTTGCCAAAAGGACAAAATAATTAATGACATTAACGGGAATTTCATTGTGGCATCCAAACAGAGATATTTGGGTTTTCCTAAAAATGAAGAATAGAAAAGAACAGAATCAGCTGGAAAGTACTCCAATTCATGTAAAAACGGTGCTATTTATACTAATAAAAGTCTAGGTGGCCCTCGTGTGCAACATTGTCACAAGGTATCTACCACAAGGTGGCCATATGCCCAGCAAAAACGGGGCCCAGCGACTGCTCCATGTGGTGAGGCCTGGAGGTCCCATGACTCTGTGAGGTGCAGAGGCAGCTGGTCCCAGTGGAGGAGGTGGGTTGAGGCAGGGGAGCGCAGTTGTGGGCAATCAGGCCTGCAGGGGAGGGCAGTTGGAGGCAATCACATACATCCCGAAATTCAAATATTTTCATAACCTGGCAGGGGAGCAATTAGACATCAAACAGGTTGGCAGGGGAGTGTATAGGGGACAATTGGAAGTAGAAGCAGAAGCGGTTAGGGTAATCAGGCAAGCAGTCAGGCAAGTGGTTAGGAGCCAGTGGTCCCAGACTGTGGTCCCACAGGGATCGGCCTAAATCTGCAGTCGGACGGACATCCCCCAATGAATCCCAGATTGGAGAGGGTGCAGGCTGGGCTGGGAGACACCTCCCCCTCCCCCCGAACGAATTTTGTGCACCAGGCCACTAGTAAAGAAATAATGTGACCTCTTCATTGTACTTGCTTCTGTGCCAGGACTGTTCTCATGTTACTTCACTTACTCCTGAAAACCTTATGAAGTATCACTATGCCTTCTTTTATATAATCTATTTGTCATCTCAGTCCATTGCCATTGCATTTGCCAAGGTCAACAATACCGGTGCTAAATCTAAAGGACACCTCTTTATCTTATTATTCTTTTAAAATTCTTGCTGATCACTCCTTTCCTCTTTGCTTTTGCAGTATTATGCTCTCATTCCCCTCCTAGCCCCTGAATACCCCTCTTCTTCTTCTCCTTTGCAGGTTGCCCTGTAAATATCCCTCCCCAGGATTCTATCTTAAATTTGCTCCTTTTGTTATCTTTGTGGGTTAAAGCATCAACTCCCAGGAACCACCTTTATGAAGACCATATTCAAATACATCACTCTTTAAATATATATTGAATAGCTTCACTTCACATCCAAACAAAAGGGAAAATCTTCACTTCATGCCCCAACACATGGGAAAAAATCATTTTTCTCTTCTAGGATCCCTAAACTAAATGGTTTAGTTTATCCTAACCAGCTGCCAAAGTCATATTCCAGTTTCTGCACAGCTCTGGAATCCATCCCTTCTCCATATCCACACCTCCATACCAGGCAAAATGTCTGAATTACCACAGCAGCCTTCTAAGCAGCTTAATTGCTCCAGGCTTACATCCATTCACTACATGGAAGACAGTTGTCTTTAAAAAATAAACCTCAGTGGGTCTTTCCTTTAGAACCTTTAATGGCTCCTACAACACCTTCTGGATCAAGCCCAAATTCCCTGAAGCAGCTAACAAAATTCCATCCAGGACCCAGTGCCTCATAACTTGAGCCACTCTAATCATGCTCTAAGCTTTAGCCACATGATTCAGCAGCCTTCTCTTCCTGAAATGGTTTTTATCTGTTTCTTCTTAACCATCTCTATTTTAATCAGCCAATACAGACACCTCAGAGAGCTCAAAATATGTGGCATTTTCTTTAAATCTTAGAATGTCCCATTTGTGATCTCAAAATTCTGGATCAAATGCAGTTCCTAAGTGCTATTACAGCACTTGGAACTTCCCAGGCTGAGGAAGTAGCACACTGTCTTCTACTAGTCCCTTTCCCTTGCTATTTTGGAAGTCTCATGTGAGCCATGCTCTTGTCTGTTATACAGACTGCTGTATCCTTAGCATCTAACAGTGGCAGGTATACAGCATTCAGGACATTCAATGCTTGTGAATGGAGCTGTGATATCTTCCTTCAAACTTACTTTGGAGTCTCTACAAAGGTTAGTCCTTTTTTCAGCCTGGAGTGGGCCCAGCAGACTACTTCAAATCCTTCCAGCTCTTAGCTAACATGGACCCTTCTCTAAAACATCCTCCCAAACCAGCCATCTAAAGCATTCTCCTCAGTTCTCTTCCCTCATAATACCATTATTTTTCTTTATATCATTTGGAAAACATTTGTGGGTTAATTAAATGTTTTATTCCAGGGACTATGTCTATTTTATACTATCTGTACTTAGCATAGAGGCTGGTACATAGCAGGATTTAACATATATTTGGAAAAAATAACAAGTGGACTAATAGCTTTCATCAAGGACTAATATCATTTCATATAAACTTTTGTGAGAAGCAACATCATATCATCCCCTAAACTAAATCTTAGTCAATACTGCCAGTTGACCATAACAATAGGCATAAATTTAAAGAATTTTCTGTCCTGTTACTCAGGTATACAAAGTAACAAATAAACAAACAAACAAAAACCACAGATAAACATATCAAGAAAAATAACTAATCATTCTTTTCCTTTAATTATTATGTATTAAAGTGAGAGTATGAAGTGACATATGAACTGGAAGAGAGTGGCCTTGCCTTTCAGGTCTTGTATGTAGCCCTCTTTGCAGCTGTGCATGAGCTGAAGGATCCATCTGTGTTGAGCTCCGATACACTGCCAAGCAGGGTCACCAGGTGCATGAAGGTCAGACAGGTACCTGAAAAAGCAAGGTCAAGGCTGACCAAGTAGTCTCCCTCTACACAAGCCATAAATAAGGACAAAAGGAAAGCTAGCATATTTCAAAATCATATTTTTTAAGAAAAGCTAAAATTTTATCAATTAGTAAAGCAGTTATCAGTATTAGTCTCTAATATTTAGTTCTCTAAAATTAGTCTCTAATATGAAATACATCCAATTTTCATGAAGTTAACAAACAATAAAGCTGTATTTTATAAGAGTAGGACTTTATAAAAAGACAACAAAGATGACAAAGACCATTTACGATGATATAATATACTTAGGGAGAAATTACCTTTAAATGTATTTACACTGACTTCCCAGAGTGCTGTTATTTAGTTTTGTCATTCTATAAGCACAGGTGGAAGCCAGCAGAGGAAACCCAGGAAATATATATATATATTTTTTTCTGATTTCAGTTGGTTTTTATTCCATTCTGGCCTGAAACATAGCCACTAGATGGCACAATGACACTGTTTTCTAGACAGCCTACACAAGGGTCAACTGAAACTTAAAGCCATTTTATTATATGAATAGATTTGGTGACAGCAAGCACTTACCTCTAAAATCTAAATCTCAATCCATGACTCAAAAAATATTTCTCTAGTAGTATAGATGGGAATTTTTCATAGATTTAATGTAGTTCTTAAAATATTTAAAGACTTTGTACCTAAAATATTCAAATTCAGATGGACAACTGAAATACATTTCAGTTGAAAAAAGTCTGCTAAATATCATTTAAGATTTGGCGATTTGCCCTCACAAAATAAATAAATATTAACAAGTTAAATCAAATTAAATCAATTCCATAAGTTGAATTTATTGTCGTAAAATTACTCTTAGACTATAAGCTGTCTGTTGTCTTGAGGTTAAAGATTTTTGTTCGATGACAAATTTTAATTAATGGTTACAAGCTGTGACCTCTAGCCAAATCTTAATAACTCAAGAGAATCATCTGATGCCTCTCTCCCATTTCCAGGATGGTATTTCCTTACTCACAGACATCTCAATTAGTAGTTAATTAGAGGGAAAACATTTTGTAGTAAGTTAGCAATGAATAAAATGTTGAGAAGAAATCTGACATCACATTTAGGAACTCTTTGCCCTCACACTGACCTCCCAGGCTAATAAAGACAGCCTGCTTTCTGAGGAGAGCTGGGCATTTCTTTGTCCTGCTAAAGAACCCCTTAACCAGCATGGCTCACACTACAGTGGGCTGCCCCAGAGACACCCCTGAGAGTTGGCCATTCTCCTTCTCCCTGACTCTATTTACAGTCTACAAAGAAGGTGTGTCTGTAGGAGAAAGCAACAAATCAGTTAATAGCATTACTAGAAGAAAAACCACAATTTAACAAATTACATTTAGCTTGGCATAAATAATTCATTTCAGAGATTTCAAAACCCAATCAGATTCTTTTTTCATAAGGCTTTCCTCTTTTTTTATTAGAATATAAATTTGATACACAGTTGTGTCATTTCTGGGAAAAAAACATGATTTTATTCTTTCTTGCTAGGGATACTTTGTCTTTGCATTCTCCTTAGGTAGGTTTGTTTCCCCTCCAAATACTTATGCAACACTTTCTCCTGACACTTTCACTCAAATAACAACCTCAGATTTGTATTAGCTATAAAATACTAGTATAGGAATATCCTTTTAGAAAATACCTGCTTCCCTTTAATTTTTTAAAATATGTTTTTTCTTTATTGATTAAGGTATTACATAAGTATCCTTATTCCCTCATTGCCTTCCTCACACCCACTCATACCCTCACCCCCTGGTGTCTGTGTCCATTGGTTAGGCTTAAATGCATGCATATAAGTCCTTTGGTTGATCTCTTCCTCCTTACCCCCACCTTCCTCTACTTTCCCTCTGAGGTTTGACAGTCTGACCGATGCTTCTCTGTCAATGGATCTGTTTTTATTCATCAGTTTATGTTGTTCATTATATTCCACAAATGAGTGAGATCATGTGATATTTATCTTTCCCTGAGTGGCTTATTTCGCTTAGCATAATGCTCTCCAGTTCCATCCAAGCTGTTGCAAATGGTAAGAATTCCTTCTTTTTTACTGCAGCCCTTTAATTTTTAAACTTCTAAATAGGAACACAGATGGTCCATTACAAGAATCTTTCTTGAGCAGAGAGAAATTAATAAGCATTTTTTGTTGACTAACTCTTAAAATTTTAAGTCTCTTTAATATGGTCACTAAGTCCTTGCAAAATTTAATGAAAATCCTTTTTCTATTGTCTTATTAATGGGTATTACATTGAAAGATTTATAAAGAAAGATAAACATGTTCTCTCAGGAATTCCAGTGTTTTAGTTTAAAAGTACAACCTGTGCTAGGTTTTTCCTTGGTTAAATGATGTATTCTCGTACGGTTCTTCTTTTCTTTTAGTAATAAGTAACTTAAAAACAAGTACTACTTTTATTTCAAAAATATTTCTTTAGAATATGACAGTTTATTGCCATTTCTTTTAAAGCTGTGTATTAAATAAAGTACACTTTGTAAAATACATTTTTAAAGAAAAAAGTTAAAACATGTTAATAATAATGAGCATAAGCTCAATATTTTAAAAATTAAGAAGATTTTAGCCCCATTCTGACATAATTTTTAACAATTACCAGGGATAGAATCATACTGACATGGGGAAAAGTATATGCAACTTTGCTTCTTGCTAAAAAAAAAAAAAAAAAGAAGAAGATCAAGACAGAATAAGAAGAGTAAAAATAATGAGTAAAAATCTCTATTTTAATTAGGTAAAATAGAGAACAAAAGAAAATACATTAATAATCTGTATTTTCTTAATAATCTGTATGCATATCATGCATAACTTCAATTATTAAAGCCAACAGAGATGTATTTTTGTTTGATGACAAAGCTGTCTCTATCCCCATGAGGTACTCATAGTACCTGTCATCATAGATTCCAAAGTCCAACAGATATCTGACCTGATTCTTTTAATTATTAAAACTTAAAATAGAATTGTTCAATGTCTTCTCAGAGCATCAGAAATAAAATAGTGATTAAAAAATAAATGAACTATTGGACATTGTTATTGGTATGCTTTTTCTTTATCCTTTAAAGTAACAGAATGAAAGCATTTAAACAGACCAGTTAAAAGAATCACTTTTTTAAATACCTACCATCTTTTAAATGCTATCTGGTAGGTTAACCAATCATAAGAACCATTAAATGTGTAGATATGGTAATTCACTAGATAAAGAAATCATACTCAATACACATCACTATGAGCAAATTAACACATCACTATCAGCAAATTTAATAGAATAAATGTGAACAATAAAATAAATACAAAGCATATTTAGAGAGCATAGACAAAACAATAATCAAATGTATCCTGGACAAAGACAATTAACATTCCTACAACTCTGTTTCTTTATATGTGTTTAAAAAAAAGCACCTCAATGCCGAAACCGGTTTGGCTCAGTGGTAGAGCATCGGTCTGCGGACTGAGAGGTCCCAGGTTCGATTCCGGCCAAGGGCATGTACAATGGTTGCGGGCACATCCCCGATAGGGATTGTGCAAGAGGCAGCTGGTTGATGTATCTCTCTCATCATTTCTAGCTCTCTATCTCTCTCCCTTCCTCTCTGTAAAAATCAATAAAATGTATTAAAAAAAAAAAAAAGCATCTCGATAACTATAATAATATGTAGTTTATTTCTACAAGCCAGAAAAAATCTCCAAATACATTCTTTCTTATGAAGGTAGCCTAGAGAAAAGCAAAGCTAGGCTCTGAAAGGAGACATATAGGAGTCCTAGTACTACATGTGTGGGCTGAAAACAACAACAACAACAACAACAACAATCTGAGGTGTCCTGGGGGGGGTGGCTCAGTTGGTTGGAGTGTTATCCCACACACCAAAAGGCTTTGGGTTTGATTCCTGGTGGGAACACATATCTAGGTTGTGCATATGGGAGGCAACTAAGGGATGTTTCTCTCACCTCCTCTCACTCTTACTCTTTCCCTCTCTTCCTCGCTCTACAATCAATTTTAAAAACACAGACATATCCTCAGGTAAGGATTAAAAAAACTATCTGAGGCTCAGTCTCCTAACCAGTATACCAGGTATAATACACATGCCCCAATGTGGTGGCTGGGAGGATTAGAAATGATAAACAGCACTTCCAGCATGGTGCCTGGGCACACTGCAGACAAGGGGTAGTGGCAGCAATCAATCTTACTATTCTCTACTCCAAAACGTCTACTTTCCCTTTCCTGTTGGATAACACGAATGCTGACTATGACAATGGCTCATACTTCTATTGTGCTCCTGCATCACTAGAAACAAGGAGGGCTGCATGTGGACCCTTGTACCTCCACAAATGAAAAAACAAAACAAAATAGCAGCTTTCAGACCAGACCATCTCTCCATACTTGGGAATTATTTTCAATGGCCACATACTAAAAACAGCCAAATGCATAAAAATATGTAGTCTATAATCATTTTATAACTACCTAATATTCAATAAATTTCACTAAGGGAAAGGGTATTTGGTCGAAAAAATAGCTTATTCTGAGAACAAAGGTCACATTCAAAATATGACACCAGACAATAAACTTATAGTTTTAAATTATGGATATAATAGCTTACATTTATATGCTTTGCCTCCAAATCCTGATATAAACACTATAACACACACACACACACACACACACAATTTATTGACTTTTATTATGTGCCTGGTGCCATATTAAATTATTAAATGTATTCGTGATTGTCTTTGCAACTACCTTGAGATATAGATTGTGTTAACATGTCCATTTCAAAGATTAATAAACTGATAAAGAAAACTCAAGTTACCCAAAGTGAATAGCTAATTCCCTTTATGGTACACTGCTTCTTGTCATAGAAGTGATGTCCATCACTTTCAATATTACTGCTACTTTTTTTTTTTTAAGTTTTCAAGACTAAAACCTTTCAGAATTTTCTCTACTGCTGAACCACATGTGTCAAACACAAGGCCCGCGGGCCAAATCCATCCCGCCAGGCCTTGCAATGTGGCCCGCACCGCGCTGTCATCACTGCACTCCGCTGCGTTTCCATCACAATGACAGTTTATGACTGTTCAGTAAACCATTCGGCCCACGATTTAGGCTGGATTTTAGATTTTGGCCCCTTCTCTGATTGAGTTCGACACCCCTATAAACTATGACCCACTCTTGAAGCATGGAGAATTTCCTAATACAGGGAGCTCTTCCTGCCTGCGGCCTGTGGGTGCCCACCAGGTGCAATCATTCTGCTAGATTAGGTAAGCCCTTGTTGAGCAGTCGGAAAAGGTGACTAAGCAATGAGGCTACGTTTCCTTTCCCCAAATACATAGGAAGGATTCTCTTGAGCTTAAACAGTGAATACTTGCAAATATATAGTACACAAAACAGTTTTGGTGTTCTGCAATAGGTACTCCTAAGTGTTTTCCCTTTAATTATTTCATCAATCTCCTAATTTTCCCCAAAGTAGCTTTAAGAGTTAGATGATATATTCAGCACTATACAGATATATGTGATTTGTGAAAATTCTTGCAAAAAGTTTACCTTATATAACGTTTTTGGTCATGTAAGGTTGATGGTGTCTCAAGCAATTTGTCCAGAAGTAATTCTCTTAAAGCTTCAATCCGTGTTTCTACTTCAGCATAATCTATTTTTAAAAAGGTACAAATATATAAGAATTACAGGATGGAAACTTAAGATCACATTACAGACAGTAGAACAGTGGTTGCCTTGAGGGTTATAATAGTGGATTATGAAGAGGCTCAAGGGAACATTCTGGAGAGAAGAGAACATTCTATCTGGGGTGTGGGTTACAGCGGTGTGTACATTTGTCTGTGCGTTTCACTACAGATAAGTTAACTACAATAAAAATAAAATCAAGTTTTCTGAGTCCTTATGGAGTTTGGATACACAAAGATAATAAAGCCCTGTGATATTTCTCCTAGTTGATAAGGCATTACCATAGGGAATTTTAGGCTTTTCTTACTGTTTTGTTTTCTGTACTTAGCATTAGAGATCATTTCAAAAGTTGTTTCATTTACTTTAAATGTAGGGTTAGAATTTAGAAATACCTCAATCTTTCTGAAGAGGGAAGATTAAAATGTAGGTTCCCATTTCTATAAAATATCTATAATTGACTCTTTCCAATGAAAAATATGTTTAATAATATCATGGTTAATAAGTAGCAAAGAATATCTAAGTCTAACCAATCCTATACCTGTGGTTGCTCATTTTCACTACATCATAGTAAGAAAAGCCTTATGTTATTTTTGAGGTAATAGTTTTACATTTAAAAGGATCACCATATCAACAAAAATTAAAAAGCATGTAAAGTTCTTTGCAGATTACATCCCACATTCTTTCTGTAAAAGGAAAGAGATCTAAAAGCAATACACAAGCCTTACATTTCTTGAAAACTTGCACCTCTGTTTTTCCAAAGAGTGACTTGGCTTTTTCATAGTCATTAATAACCACATCATAATCACCCTTTAAAATAAAAAAAATATATATTTTGTAGACTGTCAGCAAAGTATAAAGAAGACATATGGTTAAGATAAAAAACATCTTAACAACATTTTAAAATTTATGATATCTATAACCATTGGCATATAAATACATACTCTACCTTTTGAATATTCCTTTCAATATTTAGAGGAAGATTGAAAAGAAACTTAAATCGCTGGAGGACATTGAGTGCATTTCTAGTGGAATCTGCCTTGTCCTTTCGACCTAATACTTCTTGAAATAATGTATCTGCAGTATTGCTTGCTCCTATTTTAAAAGAAAAAGATCAAACTTAGATAAAAATTGATTTTGTTTAGAAAAGTATAACTGGACATATGAAATAAAATGTCAGATTGTTATTGAAGCTTTACACTAAAACTCCATAGACTTTCAAACATTAGCTATAAGGGAGATCTTTCATGGTTTGCTAAAATACAATTTCCATTTTGCCTACTAAGACTTTTTTTTAATGTTAAGAATGGTATCCAATTAAAAATAAGCATATTTATCAGGCCCACATAAATTCTTCAATGTGAACTTACATTATTTTAGTCACTCTTCTAAGTTTTATAGCAATTATGGGCCAGTTGGGTATTTCATTAATTCAGACAATAGGTTAAAACACACACATATATACATGTGCACAGTCAAGTACACTAAGTTCCATGGAGTCAATATCTACATATGTGGTAATACACAAAACAAGAAAAGTATTTTATAGAAAAGCTGTTCAAAAGAAATATTTCAGAACCAATCCTATTTCTTGGTAAAATTACCTCTTTGTATAGCAGGCACAAAAAATTACATAAATCTTAAAATGACAAATTTTAACATATCATTAATCAATATTTCTTAAATAACTAATTCTTATATTATACACAAACTAACCTAAAAGACCTCAAGCTATATGAATCACTATAATGAAAGAGATGCTTTATCTAAAGTGAAATTTACTGTGTTCAAAAATAGTTAAGCTTTTTCAACTTATGAATTACTTTTAATTAGCCACGAGGGTAGAAAAAGAATGAAGTGTTTTCAGCTGTTTGATCATGGCACATAAAAAGTTTCTACATTATCTGGTCTAGTGACTATACTTTAAGCAAGATGAAAAAACTGCCTCAGCCTCACTGGGTGGCTTGCATGCCATATTTTCCACTCCACACTGTGGGTGGGCTGATCCTGTTAGTCATCTTTATAATGTAACTGTTTTATCTAAATATTGTTTAAATTCTGTTGAAATTATAAAAGCCTGATATAAAAACTTAGTTTTGTCATAATAGCTGCTTTCATCACATTCTATTTAATGTCCAATACTAAATTTCTGCTATACGATGAGAAAAACATACTCTCTTCTTGCCACCAACCACATACTGGTGGCTAAAAGAACATTTCAAACCTGATTAGATTTAAAACATTTTCCTACAATGAAAATTATTATTTATCATATAAAAATATAAATTTCATGAGTTGAGGCTAAGTGAATAGATACATGAAAGAGATTAAATATTTTTAAAAGGTTGATTACTTATGTGTGAGCTACGGATACTAAATCCCTAAGCACTTTTTTAATATACAATGAAGAAATTTAGATCAAAACGTATGTGAGTTCAAAATTAGATTTTGCTCATATTATTTTCAAGATATTAAAAAATACCAAATTAGATTTTGCTCATGTTATTTTAAAAATATTAAAAAATACCAACTAACTCCTCTAAAACGTATGAAAAACAAGTACAGGTAGAAAATCCACTAATAATTAAATAAAATATAAACATTTTATAGAGAAAATTTGTAGGCAGAAATTGTAAATTTAATTTCTATATTGAAATTTTATATACATACATGGAAATTTTTAATTTATGCAAAGAAATTATAACCTTAATTTATAGATAATTTCTGTCCATGAATTATTATTATTTTATGAATTTTACTGCACTCACAACAAAATATTGGGAGTTCATTCTTTAATAACTGGACAATCATATCGAGTAATAAAATAAATGAGAGCAGTGAAACCAAGATTTGTGCAAGCAGATAAAAATTACCAGCAGTTCACAAAATGTATTTTATGTCTATATTCTCAAGAGCCACTAATAAGAAAATTAAACTGGGTGGGAAGCACACAATGTTGCATTATAAAATTATACACCTGAAATTTACATAATGTTATTAATCAACTAGAGGCCCAGTGCATGAAATTCAGGCATGGGTAAGGTCCCTAGGCCTGACTGGCGATCAGGGCCAATCAGGTTCCCTGCCACCAGTCACCCACCATGTTCTGTACCGCCCCCTGCTGGTTAGTGCACATCATAGCAAGTGATTAAACTGGTTTCAGGGTTGAACTCCCAAGAGAACACTTTGCATATTAACTTTTATATGTAGAGATGTTACCTCAATAAATTAACTTTTTTTTTTAAAGGAAGAAAATGAAACTACTAAACTCAGCAGTGTCCACATACAAATGACACCACAAATAAGCCAATTAGTCAGCCATCTTAAAACAATCTCCCACGGTACCAAACCTCCACATCCTCACCTATACATCCAAATTTTAAGGCACTTGGCAGGGCTTTGAACACCCAGGGTGTAACCACAGAACAAATCTAACTGAATGAGATGGCCATAAAAACCCGTAACTTGGGTCTTGCAGTTTGCAAAACGAATCCTGCTCTTAGAACTACCAGCCCTGGGCAAGTCTAGCTGGAAACTGGTCCTTTCTCAACATAAGTTCCACGGAGAGTGGCTGTCATTGTCTCAGTTATAGATGTACCTAGAGCACTAACAGCAATGCTGCTATAGTAACACTGTGGCTGCCACCATTACAGTTGGGCTGACTGAACAATAGGGTTTTCTTCAGTGTAAGATGGGATAACATGAATAGATTTTCAAGACATTATGAGAGTGAACTAAGTAAGTCAGATACTGAGAAAGACAAATACTTCATGGTATAACTTAAATATAGACTCTAAAATAGGTGAACTCATAGAAACAGAGAATAGAATGGGTGGTTACCAGGGGCTGAGGGTTAGAGGGCGGGGGAATGAAGAAATGTTGATCCAAGTACAAACATCCAGTAAGAAGATGAATACATTCTGGGGATCCAGTTAATAACATTGTATTATATACTTGAAAGTTGCTGTGAGTAAATCTCAAATGTTCTCACCACAAAACAAAAACAAAAAACAGAATTCTGTGACATGATGGAGATGCCAGTTAAAGCTAAAGCAGTCATCATACTATAATATAAAAGTATAGCAAATCAGCATGGAGGCAGTATCTACATATGAGATAATACACAAAACTTATATACAATATTACAAGTCAACTGCAGTTCAATAAAGCTGGGTGAAAAGATGGGAAGAAAAGTCACTGCAGCACTGCACACTAACCAATCAAACTCATTCCTTACCATTCACCTATTTCTTCAACAAAGAAAAAAAAAAAATGTTTCCTTTGTGCCAGGAACTCCTATCATATAGAAAAACCAGTCATGTAATTCTAATGCTGTCTTACAATTTCAAGCATGTTGTTTTTTAAAGCAAACATGCTTTCTCTTATTTTGAAGTGACTTATTAGTCCTTTTCATGGCACTGACACCTGAGACAGTATGTCACAGAAGTGATTTTTAACCTGTGATCTCTGCTTGATGTGAGTTGAGGGGATTGTGGAGAGAATGCAATAAGTACCCTACCCACAAAACACACACACACACACACACACACACACACACACACACACACAATTTATCCAAGGAATACGCAAGTTAAATGAGATTAGGAAACGTTAAAGTATCTGGTAATTTAAGGTAACTTAAAAATGTAGACTTAAATTCATACTAAAACCAAGACCACAATGAGACCTAGCAACATATTTATTGTATATGTCTCATTTTCTGTAAACAGACAGCAGAAAATGGTAAGACAGGTTTCCATGTATAACATAATGATATTACATGAATAGCATCATCAGCAATAGTTAATGATTATTTAGAGAGCCATTTCGGACACTTGAATTATATAGCACCACATGAAGTACACAGAATGGAATCTTAGAGATGAGAAAAGAGGGAAAGTTGGTTCAGTAATGTCAGGTTGGTAGCTTGAAATCAATCATGATGAGAAGATTTACACATTGGAAATGCTAATATTAGTGCTAGTTGTTTTTTGTTTTTTGTTTTTTTCCTTTTTGGCATGTCAGTTGTTAAACAATTACCGTTATAACAAGTAAAAAGTAGTTCCTTATTCACAAACTTGACTCTAATATTCCTTAGTGTTTCAAGTCCTTAACTTTGTTCTTTCAATTTTACACATAGTACTTAGGGTGAAATTATTCAGTCCTGTTCATTGAACTACCATCTCTATGCTGCTGAGTCCCAAATCTATATCTTAAGTTATGTCTGTTAGCATAAAACGAACCTTTACACATATTTTTAACTACACATACAATAATTTTTTTGTGAATTTACCCATCACAAAGAAGTCCTTTATTCTGAGCAATTCAAAAGATGAATACCTGTTTACCTGGGGGAGACAGTTCAATCAGTCAGCCCTCACTGACTTAAAGGGAAACTATGAGAGCATTTCTTGTGACACCCTATGAGACCAACTTAGTCCCTGAAGATTTCCCGTTGAGTGAACCCTGAGAGCAGAGCTGAGAAGGACAGTGTCAGGAGCACATCAGCTTTAAAAGGCTTGGAGCACAGGAATAGGGCCCCGAGTCTAGGCAGATGGTTGGTCAGGCTTCATCACATGACAGTGGAGAAAAGATTACTCGGTGGACAATCAACTCTCACACCCTTAGTTTAACTGCCTTTAGAAACAGCAAAGGAAGTGGAATGAAAAGAATGAAGATTTCATGGAGGGAGAAAAAAACATTTTAGCACTGATGGATCCCTTATAATATTGAAGGAGTTTGGAGAAGCCTTTGTGGGTGGATAAACATATACTACACATGTAATATCTAGTACTTACTCTATGCTAGGTGCTTGTCTTAAAAGTTTATATTAATTATTCCAAATTCTTGTTCTGAAAACATATATCAATTGCTAATTCATCTAAACTTACTCATGTTCCTGTGAGATAAGCACAATATTTATCCCCATTTTATAGTGCAGGCAACTGAAAACACAGAGAGGTCCTTCAACTTGCTCATTTTGTGACAAAGCTAGGAGGTATTGAGAGAGAAAAAAATATTCTTGGGTACAACCCTCAGGAATCTCAAACTCAACATGTTATAAATCAAACTGAATTTTTTTCTCTCTACTTTTC